AAAATTTATTTATACTAACAGTTCTAATGTAAAGATGTAAAAATCATATACAGAGAAATTAAAACTCCATTTGCTTACAGCACGTGGATACTTAGTATAAGACAAATGGAAAACAGTAATCCACAAACACACAAAGGGAAAAACATGTAAGCCTTCTAAGTCTCGTAGATTTATGAGGTCTCTGGAACGTATGGTAAATCTATCGGTAACAGACGATCTTCTTATTTATAGGTATTGAACCAGAAATTTATAGAATAGAAACTCTAGAAATTCAATCACCATGGAATATTTTCTGCCTTTGAGCAGAAATTTCTGGAAATTGTAAAATGTCCAATCAAGGGAGCTGGGGGTTGGGGTGGAGAATAGTGGCGAAACATAACATCACGATTATTGGTGACGAAATCAAATAATGGAGGAGATAAGGCATATGCACTACGGCTCTTCACTATGCTGGGTGAACAAAATTAGGTCAACACACGGGCTATACCAATAATTTCACTAATTTTAATCGGCGAAAGATCAGTTTACTACTGCTTTTTTAAAATGGTACAGAAAGAATATAACGACGTGTGTTTTTAAATGAAGATTTTGCATTATTGTTGTAGACTACAATACAATCCCCCCCCCCCCTTTTTTTTTTTTTTAAAAAAAACTTCTTTTTTTGAATTATGCCCAAAGGAAAAAAAAATTTTTTTAAAATGGGTAAAAAAGAAATTAACTGCGTTTTTTTTTAAATGAAGATTTTGCATTTTTTTTGTAAACTAAAAAACAATCCCCCCCCCCCCTTTTTTTTATATTTAAAAACAACTTCTTGTTTGGAAAGATGCCCAAAGGAAAAAAAAAACTATGAAATGTTCGCAGTGCATTCAGCGCAGTAACTATGTTTCTATTGAGTACCGCTTATTGTTTCTTGAACTCTTGCAAAGAAGTCCACGGTTATCTTGCTGTTCAGCGCATCTCGTTCACATAATTCTACATTTCATGTTACTGAACCAGATGCCATGACTAGCAGCGATGTACTCGTACATGCAAAGGAAAAGCAAACCTTTACGATGATAATTTGCCTGCAGTTACATTCACAGTGGGTTATGAGAGAATCCCTAAATGAAACGTTTGGAAACGAATTTCTGACTCGATCATCTTCGTCCAGCATGAGGCCAATGCCTTAGGATACCAGTAGTGATATTTGGTGGAAGAAACTACGATTCTGCACTATCAGGGCAGCGAATGCCATAGTGGTGACACATGGACCGAGTACAGCTGCACATGAAACAGTGCGGCCTTGGACATAATGATGACATGTAACACATAAAAAAACAAGCTCCACCTCTTTGCATCTATGAGGAAAGTAACTTTTTTGATACTTTTTGGCTGAAAATAAACTCTTGTTCCAAATGTTTTCTGTTTTATTATCTCGGGTATCTCTAAATTATAACACTCGTCTACTTTCATTGACAAAATATTTCTAACAAGGAAAAATTCTAAATGCCCAAAACTTTCAATAATCCATTATTTTTAGACATAACTTGTAAAATGGAAATGTGAAAATAAAAATTAGTTATGGTAAATAAATAATACGCTCATCTTAAAATTGTCCAATATATTTTTTTTTTCTTTTTCTATTTCATATCTAATAAAGTTATGTCAAGCCGAACACAGATAATTGCACAGATTATTTGACATTTAGGCTGTAATAAATTATTTCAGATAAATTTCCTGTGTCATTATAAACTTTTTTGTCATTATATTAACTGTAGTTTTTTTTATTATCAGTGCCTGAACTTTAAATCTTGTCTGTGACATTTGACGATGCCAGTGTCAGTGACACTTGACGCTACCATTGTCAGTGACATTTGACGCTACCATTGTCAGTGACATTTGACGCTGTCAGTGTCAGGGGAGATATGACACTACCTGTGTCAGTGACATTTGACGCTACCAGTTTCAGTGACATATTGACGGCATCAATATCAGGGGACACGTGACGCTATCAGTGTCAGGGGAGATATGACGCTACCAATCTCAGTAACATTTGACGCTTTCAGTGTAAGTGGACATGTGATACTACCAGTTTTCACGAAACGATTAAGACTCAACTTTCTCATCGTTTTCAGACTTGATCTTTCTGGCCTCACGATCGTGATGGTGCATATGACTAAAAAAAAAACAGTTAAGCTTAAAAAAGACACAGTCATGGAATCTAAAGTTTTCGTGGATTTTCTGAAGCCTAAAAGATCATTTAATGATAAACGAAAAACGATTCAGAAAGAAATTGATGCATAAAACTATTTATAGCTAATATTTTAATTCTAGTTTAGACCAAGCAAATTAAATTTTATTATTGAAATAAAACAATTTAAACATATATATTTATTAAAGTTTACTTTTTTAAAGCATGTTGTGTATAAATTTGTTTTTTTCTTCCAACAATTTAGTTAGACATTTTTTTGTCATAAGTAATGATTATTAAATGTCATGTTTGCGAAACATAATACATTGTAACAATTGGTCATCCTAGTAACTTCAATGACATGAATTATCTGACGATAACAATAACTTTTATATTTCTTTTCAAAAAAATTTATTGAAATATATAAATTAAGGACTCTCCCGGGCTATCATCTAATTTAGGTTTAAAAAACATAAAGCTTAGAATGCTACAAGGTGGTCCTAAAAAATATTTCAAATATTATTACATTCTTTTACATATCCACTAAACGCCGTCTTCAGCAGACAGTACAAAACAGGGGTGGACTGGGCTGCCGGGACACCAAGAAGATTCCCAATGGGCCGCCAGGACCATAGGATCATAGGGCCGCTTTTTTTTTTTCCCAGGCCGCTTGAACTCCCCAGTCCGCCCCTGGTACAAAACAATAAAGACAAATTATTCGAAGTTGAAAAACTCAAGTGTTCCCAGATATTAGTGAAGCACGCTCGTGCTCTGTGTGGGGGAAAAACACCCTTTTTGTTGTTCGGTCTATTAATTTCAAGCCTAAACATATCTTGGTCCACTCTTTATTTACTTTACAAGGATTGAACGCAGTCCCAACTTATAGGATCAGTCTACTCTGCTGATTCCTCGGTACTCTTAGCAAAAGCCATTACGTATAGCGTCATAATCTTCTTGTTGCAGATGAAGGAGAGAAATATGAACACACCTTGCAGTCCATTGAGACAGATAGAAACTAACCTGAAATACAGATTTATATTGAAGCGGAGATTTAACATATACATTTTTTTTTTACTTTTGAGCTACATGAGTATCGCATTTAATGGCGATTTATAGTAATTTAATCATTTTACAAATACATTAGATGAAGGACAGGGGTCTCAAATTTGCGGCCCGAGGGCCATTTGAGTCCCGTAAGACGATGTTTGTGGTCCGCTACCTGACAGAAAATTTTAGTATTAATGCGGCCCACGTGTTTTCCCCAGTCTCATATCTATAATGTGCCCCTCTCTGACGGTTTCAGTCGAATCTCACCGACTAGTATAATTATAGTTTTATCACGATTGTTTCGGATTTGGACGTTGAGTATAAAACCGTTTTAAAGTTGGAATAGAAATTTTTATTTTATGAGACAAATGTGGCTAAAATGTTGGGTTTTGAGGAACGCTTTAAAAAGTTAGTTAATGGATTTTTCACAACCATAATTGGGTAAATCGTAGCAATCTGACACAGCGTCAAAGAGTCCCTATTGAAATTGCCGCTAGTGTTTACGAGTGAGTAAAATACTGAGCCTGTCAGCTTGGTCACTTTCAATATATGGTTTGTCAAAAAAGGGCTTTTCTACGATTTAAAAAAATCAAAATTCATTCTCCGTACAAAAGAATCCTCCTTCGCATCAATAATTCATAGATATTGCCTGCTCCTGCCTACTGACTGAACACGTTTTGTATTATCCTTCATGGATAAGGATGGGGTGTTTCTTCCTGTACTAATTGATCCCAAATGGCTCATAGACTTGGCTTTTATTGTTGACATCACGCAGAAGGTGAATGTGTACTAAATAAGAAATTACAAGATCAGGGGCAGCTTGTCAGTGTTGCCTATGACAAAGTCAGGAAATTTTGCACAAAAATTGTGTTTAAGTTCTTAGTGAAACCTCTGCCAATTTGCAACATGCACATAGACTAGTGCAAACCATTCAGTAGCAAGTATGCTGATGCCATTGCAAAGCTACAGGAAGAATTTGATCACGTTTTCAGACTTCAAAACTCACAGAGCCACTTTTCACATTTTTGCTGACCCTTTCTCCTTCAATGTGGAAGATACCCATCACCCACTTTGCACTTAAAATAGAGCCGATTGATCTTCAGTGCAAGTTCATGAAGGGGAATTTAAAAAAAGACAAACATGGACAATTTATGAAATAATTGACCTCCACATTAACTGAAATTTCCAGGTTCCTATGCCTTTTTGGCAGTACCTGTGTGAAAAGCTCTTGTCCACTATGAACTTAACAAGTCAAATTTAGGGGCAAAACTTACTGATGAGCTTCTTCAAGCTATACCGAGGGAATAGATTGACAAATATTGCTCATGTGTGGAAGAAGAAGCGCTGCCAGGTCTCTGGAAACAAACAGTAGGAGCAAGAAAGTGAAGCCTAGTTCTTGAGAACCCTTAATATTTTTATTTGTTATTTATAACGGTTGAGCACATTGTATCAGTTGTACTCTATTGAATTTTTCATCACTTTTTTTAACATTTCTTGTTACGGCCTAGTCTCACTCAGACTCGACCTCCTGCGGCCCCCGGATAATTTAAGTTTGAGACGCCTGATGTCGGACATCAAAACTTTTACAAAGGGAAAAGCTTTAAAAATACATTTCATAAATGTATTACAAATGAATGTGTTTCAATTTTCAATATTATATTTTCTGTAATAAAATCTTTTCGATTAAGTATATTTTAAATTTCACCAATAACAATTCAGTTTTCAAAACACTTGATAAATCAAATCCAAAATGTTGCATGAACGCTGTAAAAGAATGATTTCATCAAAATAAATACCTCAGAAAATCCATATCGGTTACTTCTCCGACCAATGCCATTGTCCAGAAAGCTCCTGTCAGTGATGATAGCTTGACGTACACCAGCAAATTCCTTGTGTCGGATGATGTCACATGATGATGTAGATGACGAATTCTCTCAATGTTTAAGACAGTCAGTGTGAAGAACACCACGTTGCATCCAACGACAAGAGTCATCGGCGCTAACACTGCGAGTCCTAAGTTGGGAAACAAATATTCGAACTGTACACTGATAGAATCAAAATTTTAAACATCAACTTATATTTTCTCAAAGGTTGTCGCTTACTTCTCAAAATTAAAAATTTTAAAAGTTCAAAAATCTGAAAACAACACATAAAGGAAGTGCACTTACCTACAGTCAGAGGTGTGTCCAAGTAGCAGAGATTCTCACCGTATCCAATGTTCTCTCCCTCAGTCAAAATGAGCGTAGTAACGACCACGGCCAACACGACTGCGACTGGCATTAAAAGGGAGGCAACAAAACGTTTAATGAGATTGAGTCTGTCTTCTTGTCTAGTTGGGACGGAGTTACGTGTCCTTGATGTAAAATCGCGAAACATGTTGAAGCTGCAGATGAAACTCCAGGAAAACATCCACAGCCAAGTTAAATGAGTGGCTACACCAACGGCTTTACACATGAGACCTGGGGGTTGACTGGTATAAAACATAACATTAAATTTGTGTATACTTTATTAGCTGATGTAGTGTGTGTTTCTTCTAATCAACCTTTACAACGCAAGCTGTGCATCAAAGACTTTGTACTTACGCTATTTTAAGTCTGTTATGGAAACAAAGTCGTGTCTTATCAGCATTATGCCGCTATAAAGAATTTGAACATCTGGCAATGGTTGTATTTTCTCTTCGACGCATTTTATTATATTTGAAACTATTGTATACCTTAATTAGAAAATAGTTTTATTTAGGACATTCGACGGATTCTAAGACGCAGAGACAAACTCAAATGTTTTGTCGTCGAACTGATGAAGACATTTGATGAAACGTTCACTTGTGTATTATGTAACAATTATTATTCAAGCTGAACATATAGTGTTATATTGACACAAAGTGTTCGTGTCTAATTAATCTACTGAGACAAAGTATTGCCTTCCATTCATATACTTACATAGTAGAACTAGCGATAAGAGAGATCTGAGCCAGTGTAAGGCTCGAGCAAAGGAACATGGTGTTCATCCCAGGGTCAGTGCGCATGACGGGAAACACGAAATACGTGGCTAAAGTCAGAACGAGGCAGAGAATAGATGCTGCCATGCACGATAATGTCAAAACATATTGAACGTAGACTAAGTTCGACGGAGAAAGTACCTTAAACTTTTCTTTCAAGATCTCGTCTAGCAAGTCTTTACAAACACAAAGAAGATGATCTCCATTAATGACCATCTTGTTAAGATCCTGGAAATCTGAGATGTTGAGTTTTGTACCGTTCAGGTCTATCGTTACTTGCATTTTAAGCGATTTGCCTAAAATATCAATGGTAAAATCTGACTCGTTAAACTGAATATAACTGCAGGTCAACAATTTTGTTATATTTATAAACGAGTAGTCCGATGAATTTTCCTTTATAAATGAGTCTAAAATATACCTCACAATATCTGCTTCCTCCTTTGTTACAGAGCTAGAAGACTTTGGCGTCGACTGTAGTTTGTCATTGATTATTAAAGGATAGTTATTAACGCTGTAGTTTATTACCGTTTTGACGTCATCAAAGATAAATAATGGGATGAATTTTATGTTTCCAAGTTCACTGTTCAAAATATCTATATTCTTATTAATAAATAAATCAATAAATTTCTTTTCAAATGGATCTCTGGGGTAATTGATTCCAGCCAACAAAACACAATCAATCCATAAAGCAACAACGTTTGGAATCGTAGGATCGTCTTCCTCGTTGCTTGTCATTGCGTCAGATGTGAGACTGTAGATACTGCACTGGTGCCACGGACTGAGGCTTGGATCAGTTTCAAGCTGAAAGAATTATTTAAAAACAAGCAGATAAATATTATAGGTTTTTAGTAAAATAAGTGGTATTTTAAACAGCATTTTATTCCAAACAAATTATGGAATTTAGATATATTAACATGTTACTTTTAAAACTCCCCAGTAACACATCACAATGAATGACAATGGGTGAGGTTCGAATAGATGATGTTTATACTGGCAGTCAACTTATAATCTTAGGATAAGGAGATCAATTGGTGGTCCAATAAATTATGAACGAAAAAGGCCAACGGTTTTACTATTAAATGGTAGGCTACATCAATATCTTAGAAAGTGAGTATCTTAAAATGGGCCGTGTTTCTTATGCTTCCAAATATCCTACCCTCTCCTCATACTCCTATCAATATTTGTGTCTCAGACATAGGGTGGGGGCGGTTCAGTTGGGGGAGGGGGGGATAAAGCATCAAGTTATACCATTTAAAATGGAATAAAGTAATGAATACCTTTCGTGTAAAAAGGTTTAGGAAAATGTTGAGATCATCTAGCGGAGCAGAAGTTTGTGGTACCAACAACATTCTGACCCTGTAGAACAATCCCCGTATATCTGTTAACATTGTAGAACAGACTCCATTGACAAGAGATTTTCCAGGCGCACATTGTAGAGGTATGCACTGACCCTGTCATCAGATTAGAGTTTTGAGTAAAATTTAATAATTTTTTTTAAATTTTTAATTTTGAGTAACAAAACTCTGACATGATTTATAAGACTAAAATTTATCTCACATAAGGCGTGGCCTGATAAAGTACCAAGTGCCCTTTCATCGTTATTATCCTTAGACACTTTTTATCTACTACCTGCCCGCAGACTATAGCATTTATTTCTAGTACATATCTCAGCTGTCAAGAATTCTATTTGAAGTATCTGTATTTTTGCTGTACATCATTCTAGGGTAAGATATTACACTCTTGTACCAGTACGCTAAGCACTTTTAAACACAAAGTTATCTAGTGTTTAAATGTATAGATAAATGTATTTGCAAAATACTTTATTATAAATCAGGTACTCAATAAACAATGCAAGTTCCGCTAACAAGCTAAGTCGAAAGGAAATATTAGAGCAAGCTAAATGGAAGATTAAAATAGACAGGATTGCCCTGTCCTTATATTTCAAGCGCCCACATTCCTCGCTCTGCTATTTGTAGTCCTTCATTTATTATCCTAAAGTCAAAGGTGATCACTGGCTATACAGCTTTATCTTTCATCCTCTGAATCATTCTGTCCCCAATTTACCAATGTTCGTCACTTTTGTTCCGACAAGCTCACGTGCACTTCATTCAAACCTTCACGCTACCACTGGAACTAATTTAAACAAATGTATAACCTGAATTAACAGGGGTTCTCATCTCGTCATCCATATCTCATCTAACTCGTAAATTAATCCACGCTGAAAGGGCAATATTGATAATATATTGAGGACTGCGTTCAAGTCGCGTGAAGGAAGTAGTGGTAGATGATATGTTATTGCTTGGAATATTTGTTAAAAAGACATTTAAATCAAAAGATCGTTTTGGTAAATGGGTTTTTCAGCAGACAAAAGAAGAAGCAACAAAGCATAAAGAATGAAATGTGAACACTCATTGTGTAGGAAGTAGTCATAATGTCTGAGAGACGGAAGATAAGTTGTTTAAAACCAAAACGTAGGTTCTATGAAAGAGATTGCAGGAAGTAAACGAAATTATAAAATGTTATCCTGAAATTTTATTTGAGAATTTTTAAAATTCCAAAAATGAGAATAGAAATAGTATGTAAATTAACCACTAATAGGTAAGGGGGTATTTGATTGACTCTATTGGGAGATATGTTGCCAAAAATTATTTACACTGTCTTTAATTCTTCTCTCTAGCGTATTTGTGTAAGAAATCAGTGACATGGTGGATACATATACAGTGTTTCTTTCCCGTACCTGTAAGTGGAGCACTGTCCCCACCCTCCAGAGCCAGTAAAGTTCCCCACCCTCCAACCCGGAGAAAAATGTGAGCAACAGAAAACGAAAGTATATTTAATATTATAAAAACGACTAAATGTTCGCTTCTTTAACATTTTTAAACGTAAAAGAAACGTGTGCCTTTCACCGATTAATATTAGTAGAAGATATAAAAGATCGCTCTGCTCGATAGATTTGTTGATCCGTATATTTAAGGCTAATCGTGTAACACAATTCGATTATAAATATAATATTATTTTGAAAAGTAGCCGCTCCTAATCATAAGCCAAAATTTTACCTTTTGTTGTTTGCAGATATCGTGATTTGTCTTAATAATTTTAATAAAGACTTTTATAACATCGTATATAACAACCTTTACATCAATTTAACTTTAATAAAGCTCTTGCTAAATATCAAACTTACGCAATCAGTTTTCAATTATTTTGCATCTTAAAAGCATGGATATTTAAGAAGGTATGGCTGTTGATTATAAAGTTTATGATGGAATCCTGCTTTAAAGAATATAGTTATTAGCATAATTTTACATATAATTTGAAGTTTATCCAAAGAAAGTTATAAAAGATTGAAATTCCAGAATTTTAACAACTGATATCCGGAAGTAGGTTAAGATTTTAACAAATCATTTCTGGAAGCAAGTAAAGATTTTAACAACTAGCTGATATCTGGAAGTAGATCAAGATTTTAAAAACTTATTTTTGAAAGCAGTCAAGATTTAAACAAATCGATTCTGGAAGCAGGTCAAGATTTCAACAATTCACGTCTGCGAGTAAGTCAAGATTTTAACAACGCAAATGAGTTAACCTGTATTGGCTGCATGGTAAAGCGACGTGCTGTTAAGAGACATAAGGTGTTGACTTAAAATATATATTTTTTTTTTCTAACTATTTACTCACACCGAATGAAGGCCACTCTCTGTCGGAACAGTTGTGCTGTTGTTTTAAGACCTTTGTGCTAACGGTACTGGTGTCTTCACGGAAATTAAACAGTAGCGATAGTGCCGGGACTGCCTTATTTATCCCCACCACAATTCGACATTTATGTTTGTTAATATGGTACTCAGGATATGTATTCTGTGGAAATTCGAAAAGACAAGAATAAATATTTAAACGATTGATTTTAGGTAACTATTTACATTGTTATTCTTTAAACGTGATTGAAGTGTAAGTTATGAAGAAAATAGTATTTTGGTTGATGATATGGTCAAAGCTGTGGTGTTTCGTAGACATTGGTCAGAGGTAATATAGAATTTATTCACTCACTTCATGACAAATGGAACAGAAAATGTTTTTGTATGGCTCAACGGCATAAGTTTTCACTAGAAATCCAACGTCTTTCATCTCTTGGCAGGCATTCGCTACTTCAGCATCATGCCTCCAAAAAGGGTTCGCATTTTGGCAACTCTCTTTGATAGGACCCCTGGTATATGAAAAAGCAATAAATACACATAGAACGATGGTTGGGTACTAAAAATTCGCCTTATCAGTTACGTGGATCTACTATTATTTTATCATATCTTATATGTCATATCATCGTATATATCCAATATATGTATGTATATCTTAGGGAAAATGTTTTGCTTGTGGATTTGTGGCTTTGTTCGCATAAGTTTCTACATGGATAATGGCTCTTGACGAAATTTGGAACATTTATCCATCATATCCAGTAGGAATTCTTGAGGGGTTG